CCCGCCTACCCCCCTCACCCTCCACGCTGCTGCCTCTCCCCAAAGGCATCTGCTCCCATCTCCCCCCTTGTTGCCTCTGATACAGAGACAGCAAGGGGGGCTGGAATGCGTGTAGTTGATAGGATTAACAGATAAACCCAGGTTTATGGGTTAATCATGTAGTTATTTACATGCTGACATCCTTACAAAATACTTATAAACCACTTTTGATGGGTATCTACTGAATAGAACAAGATCTAAGGGTGTGAATCAGAGTGGATAAAAATCAATGATTTTTTTAAAACAATAAAAAATGATTTTATTTAAATTTGATTTTTTATATCATATATAAAATATTACATTTCTCATTTTAAATATAACACATCACAAACGTGCTACACCTTCACTTACAATCTTATAAAAACTGAATTAATAGCTCTAGTCTGTCCAGCTTAACTACCATCTTGCTTCTTGAAAGTTCTGGGATTTCAATTTCTGTTTCTCAGCAGACTAAAAAGTAACATGTGCAAAGAAAAACACAAGCTGAATAGGTTTATTTTTGTTCAGTATTTATGTGGTGGTGGACTTTGGCCAAGCACAGCAGAGGATTTAGTTAAGACGTTATCTTAAAAGACAGAGAGAAAATATATAGCAGTGGTCTCCAACATTTTTACACCCAAGATCACTTTTTCAATGTCAGACCAAGCCAAGATCTACCGCATCCTTCCCCAAGACCCAACTCCTTCCTTGAAGCCCCGCCCTCTCTGTTCTCCTCTCCATCACTTGCTATTTCCAGCCCTTATACACTGTGAGGGTACAGCTTCACTGCTGCTTTTTTTATTCATCTGTAGGAAAAGGGTTTTCCAACATTTGGCCTCTGTAGACATGGAACGAGGAATACAGAGGTTACCGAAAGAGCATGTTTGCTTTTCCGCTAAAAAAGCGGAAGAACAAATGCATCCCTGGACATGGAAGAGTTTTTCCGGGTTACCTCTGGGATCTCGGAAAAACTCCTGCAGTCTAGCTGTACCCTCACTGGGTTGAGACAGGACGTGTGGGCTCTGGGGTAGGAATGAGGGATTGGGGTGTGGGAAAAGGTGAGATTGTAAACTCTGGGAGGATATTTGGATGCAGGAGGAGGTGGAGAAGGGGATGCTGGCTTGGGGAGGGGGCTCCAGGCTGGGGAGTGTTGGGGTCAGATGGAGAGTTGGGGTGCTGAGCAAACCAAAGGCTTGTGGATGTGAGGGGGCAAGAGTTTGGGGATGTGCGAAAAAAGCCACAGGCTTGTGGCTGTGAGAGTGCAGGAGTTTGGGTTGGGGTGTGTGAGGGTTTCAGGGCAGGGAGGCTGGGAGTATGATGGTCTCAGGTCACAGATTTGCAGTGTGTGGATGGTGCAAGAGTGTTGTGACAGAAGACTGAGGATGTGAGAGTGCAGGAGTTTGGGGATGTGAGAGGCTCAGGACAGGGGGTTCCAGTGTATGATAGGTTCAGATCTACGGTCTGGGTGTGTGTGTGCAGGAGTGTTATGATGCTGCAGCTAGATGGGGGCTTGGCCTCAATTGGGGGCTTGTTAGCCAGGCTTCATTTTAAAATAAAATATTATGTCAAACACAAAAAGTTTCTGCATTGTCTTTATTTATGAGAGGGGTAGGGAACCTGTTTTGAGTCAGGAGTCACTGACACACAGAAAAGTCATTTGGGGCCACACAAGTAAGATGCAAAAAAATAACTCCTCCAACACTCCCACCCAAGCCTCACTAATGTGGCCCCGTGTTGGTGGGAGCAGGTGACATAGTACTGGGGGAGGGTGCTAGTGGGTGCAGGGTTGGGGACAGAGTGTCAGTGGGGGCAAGGGACAAGGTGATGGTGGGGGCACGGGGCAGAGGACAGGGTGATGATGGGGGAAGGGAGTCCCCGGTACGTGCCTCCTCCCGGGACTCCTACCTCCTCCCCTCCTCACAGTGGAGGGAAGCCCCGGCACACGCCTCCTCTGGGGACTCCTCCCCCATCTCCCGCAGAGGAGGGAAGTCCCGGTGCGCACCTCCTCTGGGGACTCCTAATCACCCTCCCCCACCAACAGAGGAGGGAAGCCCCAGTGCGTACCTCTTCCCGGGACTCCTCCCCCCCCAGAGAGGAAGGAAGCCCGGGCACATGCCTCCTCCCAGGACTCCTTCCCCCTCCCCCTGCACAGAGGAGGAAAGCCCCGGCGTGCGCCTTCTCTGGGGACTCCTCGGACTTCTCCCACCCCCTGCAAGTTCCCAGCATGCCACAGACCTGGGAGAGGGGAGCAGCCAGCGCACTTCCAGAACCCCTGGAAGTGGCACACAGCTTCAGGACTTCCTTCCACCCTGCAGGAAGCCGGCACTACCTCCACTGTCGCTGGAGGTACTTAGTGGTGCTTCTTGGGGGTGGGGAGAAAAGGGGAGGGTCCTGAACACCTCGCGATCGACTGGTTGATCCCTCCCGATAAACCAGTCGATCGCCATGGATATATAGGAAAGGATGGAGCCAGCATAGAAGAGAACAGTGGAGTGGACTGGAAAGAAAAGACAACACTATTCAGCACACACAGTGCTTTCTATATTCCCCCACACTTTTGCCAA